TGGTCGAGCTTCAATAAACTCATGAATTCAACTACTAAACAACAGAATACTATTTAAATATCTCAATTATAGATTCATCTATCTATTCTGTAGTAAGCCTATTCAACTATTGTATTATTTGTCTGATCGTTGTAATTTAGACATATCCCACTATGTAATTTTTTGCGTGAGTCTGTTTGAGCACATGTCTGCACATCAATCTTTAATCTATTCTCCCATTGGTTGCAATACACAGACAATCAATAATTTATCCACAATCCTAAATATATACATATATATATATATATATATATATATATATATATATATATATATAGAGAGAGAGAGAGAGAGAGAGAGAGAGATTTAACACACATACACACACACATGAACACACACTTGGTTTCCCTGTGTGCTTGCTTCCTATACTCTTGAGGATTTTACCAATCTTTAACAATAAACTATCTCTATAACTGGTATTCAGGCTTTTGAATCGTCTCGAGTAAATCTCTAATTCCACTATAAGATTTAGCCTATCTTTTAATACTCCATTAACAGGATACTATTTATAGGTGTCAAATATAGAAGAAACTAGCCTCTATAATCTATAGGAAAGAAGAAATAAATTAGTTACATTGATTTTGTTAATATTATAGAATATACTTATTCCAAATATTTTTTGTAGAATTTGATTTATTTATAATATACTATCATCACATTTACTATTATCTTTCATACCACTTATTGAATATCTTACTATATACATAAATATAAAGGGGAAAAATACATTTAAAAAAAACAATTTGTTATGTCTAAAAAGAAAGAAAAAATTTTTTTATTGTTGTTGTTGTTGTTGTGGTGGTGGTGGTGGTGGTGGCGGTGACGGTTGCTTGTTTCATAAATGAAGACAAAAGAGAATAAAATCTGCTGTCGTGTTGTCTATCTGTCATCATTCATAATCAATAATTCATATCAGTAAAATGTTTTGCGTTCTTTTTTTTAATTTGCTGTTCTGTGATAAATTTATTTTCTTTTTCTTTTTCTTTTTCCTTTCTTTTCTCTCTTCTTTCTCCTTTTTTCTTGACTGATAAAAGAACTGACGTTTTTAAAATAAAAGTTTTGTTTTTATTATATAGAAATAAACTAAATGAAACTGATGATTTTTTTATTATCAGAAGGGGTTTTGTGAAGATTTTAGTAGTTTCAATAGTTGAAATCATGAGACAATTGAACCTAGACCACCATGGAAAACCAATAGAGTTCAACTAGGTCTGTTGTGAGATATCAGCTCACTGAAGACAATGGTGACATTGGTGCGATTTCAAGGATTGGTTGAAGTTAGACATTAACACCGGATGGCTCAGTGGTCTAATGGTTAGGCGCTTACGCGCGAGGTTGAGAGGTCCTGGGTTCGGATCTCGCTGGGAAAAGCGGGATCGTGGATGTGCACTGCTAAGGAGTCCCGCGATGGGACGAAACGGCCATCCAGTGCTACCAAGTTTTCCATGGTGATCTAGCTTCAATCGACTCATGATTTTAACTACCGAGATTTTGTAAATATTATTTTAGTATATTCTATGTAATATCGGAAGAGGTTTCTTTGTGTGGATATTAAAGTGATTTTTAAGAGTTATTGGGATCATGAGTCAATTGAAGCTAGACTGTTATGGAAAAACTGAAAGTACTGAATGGTCGTTTCGTTCTATTGTGGGACTCCTCAGCAGTGTGTATCCAAGATACTGCTTCGCGAGATTTGAACCCAGAATCTATCAGTATCGCGCGGAAACGCCTACGTTGATCATTTATTGTAGTATTTACAAAAGATATGGTTTAACTAAACCGCTTTTCATCTATTGGTTAAATTTTTTTCTTTTCACGTATAAATCGATTTGAAGAGAAAAAAAGCTAATTTTTAAATGTTAAAATTGTACAAGTTAGTTGAATGAATCATTACTTTTCATGATTAAGATTAGAGTTGTCAACCATTGAATCTGAAAATTATGATGGAGCTTTATTCTCTGAGCTGAATGGTTTGGTCGTAGAGCTTTTATAGTTATTCTGAATGACATCATCAGCATAAACTTAAAGTAGAAGTGAAGCGTTCGAATTTCTCCATATGCTGTTCACAGCTTGTCCTGTAGAGCACGATACTCCAAGACTAAACCATCCAGCTCAGAGAACGAAACTCCATTAAAATCATTCACCTGAGCTACAAATCTTCTTCACCATCTCAAAATCTGAAAATTAATTATTTGACATGTTAGGTCACGATTGAAAACCTGGAAGTACTGGATGGCCATTTCGTTCCTAGCATGCGACTCTTCAGCAGTATAAATTCACGATCCCACATATGAAACTCGAACCTAGGACCTTCAATCTGGTGCACGAACGCCTAACTTCTATACTCAGCTCCAAGAGTCCTTTTAAGAAGTCATAACTAGTGGAGTTCAACCAGGTCTGTTGTGAGATAGTAACTTACTAAAGACAATGGTAGACGGTGGCGCAGTTTTCTTTTCTTCTTGAAAATTATGCTGCCTTTATAAATAACAATCAAAGACTCTCATAAAAATAATTTTATTGTTTGCATACATCTAATATTATTTTGTTTTTATTTTAAAACTACTTTTAAGATAATTAAACCTTATACACGTAAAAACAATCACACAAACATAAACACACACACACACACTTATATAAAAATACATACAATCATAATAGCCATAGTTAACAGTTATGATTATTAATATATAAATGAATCTAATGTATAATTATAATAAACAATATATACATTATTTGAAATACTATCCATTTACCATTTCTTAATTTAGATAAACAAAATCAAAATAAGAATTTCTAGTATTCTTCATAATATAAACAGATATATGAATATATATATATATATATATATATATATATATATATATATATATATATATATCACTCAAATGGGATTCTATCATTACTTCTTCTAGTCTTCTAGTATAAAACGTTATTTATTTTGTTGTTATTGTTGTTGTTGTTGATCTTTTGCCCAATGAAATCTGTATAGATGAAGATAAGTAGGCTATGTATTATATAGTGAGAGTTGTTAAATGTTTAATTTTTCTTCTCGCTATGACTATTATTTACTAGAAAATGATTAAACTATCTATACTATACATCAATGGGAAGATTCAAGTAAAACAATACCAAGTGAATTTCAAACTTCACCCCATTGAATAGACAAGTGGGTAACAGAAATTAGTAGTTAAGTGAATAACGTGATGGCGTTTAAAATGAACGGTAATGTTTTCAAGTCACAGAGTGAAAATCAACTCTGAGATCTAGGTACATCCAGCTGACGAGCCCCAACTAGGACGAAATGTGAGTTCTGGATTCCACTGCTAGCCACTATCCATCTTTGTTTATAATGTTTGTGAATTAAGGTAATATCAAGGCAATACGCACACTATGCATATATGCCAATAAGAGATTGATCAACTGCAGTCCTAAACATTAATGGGAAGATTCAAGTAAAACAATACCAAGAGAATTAAATTGAATAACGTTCATTGTGAAACTACTTATTGGATAGATAGATGGTGTCTATCATTAGAATCCATTAATCGTCAGTTGAATATACCTGCATTGCGACATTGATGTTTACTCCAGGATTCAAACCCAGTATCGTTCGTTTTTAATACTTACCTGATCAAATCAGCTGAACGGGATTAATGAATATGATCAGTTTTTTTCGATTCCGTATTATTTTATAAAAGTATCACTACTATTAAAGGAGTGAATGTTAAATGGGAATTCACTTGGTAATTGTGATATGTTTCTTTTTTTCTTATTTAAATAACTGATTCTTCGAAAAGTACCTTGTTATAAACTAACTTTCTAAACTTATATTTAATGTATGTTTGACTACATGAAACGATTCATTTACTGACCATTAATTCAGTCTTTTGATATCTAGTTATTAGGATATACTACCTTATTGTTTCCAAATTCTGTGAACAATCGTCACTCAAAAATGCTATACACTAAGTATTTTATTATTAGTAGGACTTAATCATTTCACATTAGTGTTGAAAATAATATCTAGTTCTAACAGATTGGTTAAGCGAAATGTAAACACTTTTATTTCCATTTCATTAGGTAGCTAACATTCATTACTGATATCTATCGAAAAACTGCTGAAATATCAGAAGCAGTTTGTAATTATCTCAGCTTTTTTGATGCCGTCCATCGAGGAGTATCTTTGGTTCCTTATGATTTCATAATAGGACTGTCATGTCTCATGGCAGTCATGAAACTACTTAAAATCGTGAGTTTTGATGCCAGGTATTTAGAGGTAATCGATATAAGAAAAACAGGGAGCATCAGGTTCCTCAAGATTAAAAGTGCACTTGGTTGACATGAAAAAACGCTTCCTGATGAATACCGTCAACTACATAGTATCAAAACATTGTTCGAGCAGGCTTCTCTATATGCCCTGTCTTTAGTTCAAAAGTTAGCGACCACTCTCTATTTTAAAGAGATGTAGTTTGTATATAGACATACGGACCTCATAACACTATTAAAATAATACCTGCACATAAACGAGACAAAAGAGGTGGTAAACCAGTGAAGTGGTAAGTTAAATATTGGCAACAGAAAAGGAGTTGTAAGCAGTACAATAGCAGTTAATGTGTTAAATGAAAGCTTATGACAAACAGAATATAAATACATGGTTAACTAGTTAATTAGTAAGTACAAAAAAGTGTATAAGCAGTATTGATCCAAAAAGCAGTTTCGAAAGCTCCAACTTTCACAATGTCTTCGTGTTATAACGTCAATAACTCAATAAAGTACTAATTTACGTATACTGAAATTATTGAATGCAAACCCTTTTGCTTTTAGCTACTTTCAAAATTATAAGTAGTTTGTCTTTTATTAAAAAACGTCTAGGTCAAGAGTGAAAAAGTTTTCATACCATAAAAGAAAAACACAATGAATTGATGTACGCATGTTGAATATGTTGTTTTCATTTATTTTAGTATCCTAATGGCCATCAGTTATGTTCCACAAGTCAGTGGTCCGATAGAATATCACCTATAAACCCAATAAAATTAAATACATTGTCAAAGTTGAAATCGTTGAAAGACAAAATAAATGAATGGAATTTACACGAATCATCATCTTCATTTGCAATAATTTTAACGGGTCTATCTAGTGGTTTAATATTTTTTGCCATATTAAGTACTATACTTGGTTGTATATTAAGACGTAGAAAACAACAACTCAGCAGAAGATCTATGCTTGAATCAAACAATAATCATTTAGATGTACAAATATACAGAGATCTTAGTAAATCAATGTTTAGTGAAAATTTATCAACACCATCTAATTCCAGAACTAAATGTTATTCACCAAAAACTAACAATAATAGTCTACTGAATTCACAACCATCTAGTTATTTTTTAAATTTACATAATGAAGGATCACATAGTCCATCGAATTCAAGCAATGGTATACCAATTATAAATTTTCCACATCCAGGTAGTGGTGGATTAACTGTTGGAATGAGTCAAATTTCTCCATTAGCTTTATCATCTAATCAATTAACAATATCTGATCTATCACCGGTAATCACCAGATCAGTATATATGAATACAGGAAATAAATCAGAATCACCTACAAGAAGTGTAAATAGCAGTGAAGCATTAATTGGAAAAACTATCCATAATATTCATCATAAACATGGTACAACAAATATATTAGAGAATTTTAACCAACTTGTTCGTGATGGAACACTTGAAAGTACGTTGTTATGATTTTGAGTGAAACAATTAACTTCACATTTATGTTTTATTATAATGATGAAATCGTTTTAAATTTCATGTTTTTAAAAGATTATTCAATAACCTGCAAAGTCTAAAAAATCAAATATTTGTAGAGGGATTTACTTGATGCTATTTGAAAATCATTGGAAATCAGAGTGCGTTAAAGATTTATTTTTTCCTGGATTCTGAGTCTCGATTTTGGCTAAGCTGAGGCGGATAATCGATGGTTGTTAAAGTTCGTTTTGGGATTGATAATCGATGGTTGTTAAAGTTCGTTTTGGGATTGATTTAAGCTGGAACTGTGAATTATTAGATGCTAAATTTATTTATTTAAACACATAAATATTGGTACAAAGAGGCACCGAATACATATGTGCCACACATCTCACCTAATTTGTATGTGGGCTGTGATACCGCCCGATTTCCCAAACCAAAGTAGGTGGTTTTCTTAGGAGGCCACATCCCGAGCCTTCGACGTAAAGGTCTAGTCTACAAAGCAGTGGAGCAACGTTAGGATATGCAGTCCCGTGGTAGCTGATGGAAAACAATAGGTTCATACGCCATTGGTTTCCTCAGGATCTTGGAGCTCATGTGCACCATTGGTTTGGGATCAGGGTTTTCCGATTCCTCCAGGTAAACTCTCTGTGTTCACTTACCTGGTTAACGCACCGGACATTCGCTTTTCGTCCTCTCACTTTCGTAAACAACAATAATGCCTTTTGAAGACAGTGTGTTGGACTTATGTGGCAGTGGTTGTATGCACGTGTCCATGTGTGAGCATTTCAAGAAGGAGAGCTGACTCTTCCCACCCTCGGTCTTCCCAGGGCATTCAGGGGCAAAATCTAGAAGTTAAAAGTCTTGCAGTTTTTAAAAATATATGAGATGATCTTGACAGAGCTAAATCATGAAACTAAGAGTGAAAGAAAAGCTTCGTTGAATTTATTTCGAGTATATTTTATTGTCTTTAAGTTAATTCGATATGATTTTGATGATTTCTTGAATCAGACGTTTCAACACTGTTTATAGATTATTTAAATATTTTTTATTTACTTGATATTAGTAAATTAGGACGTAAACCAATATATCTCTTGAAATAACCTAGTGACTGAAAACTTATAACCCATCATTTTGTTTTAGGTAGATAATTACCAAAGTGAATGTAAAGTTGATTAAATAACTTCTGATTAGTTTTCTTTGACCTAATTGATGTTATCTCTAGAACATGATAATTACTTACGATATATTCAAAGATTAAGTGCTACCCAAAATAAACGCCAATGTTATAGAAAACTACAATTAAATGAACATATTTTATCTTCCTGCACGATTGGATCGATTTATTTACAAGTAAATCAGATGTATACTCATATCCACATTAAATACCATGGATTTTTTATTCTTTTTACCCGATATTGATGTCTAATTAAACCTTCCCTGAAGTGATCAATAAGCCATATCACACTGAAACTAATTAGTATTTTGACTAATACTATACGTGAAAAGTGACATTCACTAGTTTATACTAATCTAACTTTTTCATCATTCAATGTACGTTTTTTCTCTGCACTAGTATTAAGATAATCCAATAGATGGATTCCAGGATCCATGTTTTGTCTTATTTAAGATTCATCAACAAGATTTAAATATCACATCCTAGTTTATTAATGTTCACATTCCAACTCGAATCCAATAACCTTCCTCTTCAAATGCCAACACATTATCAACTGAGCTACCCAGACCAGATAGCCAGTAATCTGTTCAACAGTTATAATTTATTTATCATTATTAGAATCGGTTTTATTTGCCTCGTTTTTAGTATTTTAAGTCGAGTTAGAATAGGTCTTAGCTACTATATGCGCTCTCTGTACTGACTACTTTGATATCAACATTTTTTCACAAGTTCTTTTTTATGATGAAATCCAAGCATATCCAGTTGACTTGTTACAAATTTGATGGGATACATGGGTTCAAACTTCTAAACATTTAATAGGAACTTTCGTCTAAATTTGAACGAATAGTCTTCTTGAAAAAGCTTGAACCAGATTGCCAGGCGAAACGTCGGATTTACTTCGAATTCTTTCGCCGAGATTTTATAAATACATTCTTCCTCTTTAACTTCTAAATACTTATGTTTATTTTTTGTTTACTTGTAAGTAGTATAAATTATTACATAAAAATATTTTCCATCTTATTATCATTATACATTATTACATTTTTAGTACATCGAATGCCTATACCAGTTGAACAATTTCAAGAAGTGATTTATCAATCAAGAAATAATAATTATATTAGTTTCCAGCAGGAATTTCAAACAATTGAACAAATCTCATCAACACGATATATCAGTGCAGTACATTCTAATTTAGACATAAATAAATCGAAAAATCGATATCCAAATATTTTAGCATATGATTGTACACGAGTTAGCATTCAATCAAATTATCAACATCATTCTAATGCACAGTATGGAATAGTTTCAGGATCGGATTATATAAATGCTAATTATATTGATGGTTATAGAAAACAAAAGGCATACATAGCAACTCAAGTAAGCCATTTATTCCTGTTTACTTTATTGTCAGATGTTTAATGTTTCTAAATAAAGTGTTGTTACTTTTGTCCGGTTAATTTATCACATTATAAGAACGTCAATCAGAACATGATTTACATGACCTTGACACGAAGCCAAATCAATGATGCGTAAACGAGTACAAACAGTCTAGAGTCAATTTTGAATCCTTATTGGTTTGTATCGCTCAGCTCTGTCCGTTTGAATCCAGAATATAAATCTCAGCTCCAACTGTATGAATCATATATTTCAGATGTATTTGGTCTATATACAAACAAACCAGATCACATCATACCATAAAATAGAAAATAACAAGCCAAAAGTATCTGTGATCGTGAGAGACTGTAACTAATAAATTCGGAATAACTTAAGAGTACGAAGACGGAGATCATGAGAAATTATCGAAATTTATAAAAGGGACTAATTGCTTTAAACTTAAGAGTAGTAAATCGTATAATAATAGCCAATAGATTAAATATAAGCTTGTGAATAAGGAAATATATATATATATATATATACTAGTTGCTTAACAGTTATACAAAAAGAATATATATATACCCATAACTTAATCTTCTTTGAATCTGACAAAAAGAATGTAACTTGGAAGTTTTGGTAGAACTAAAAATAACTTTGACTGGCACTAATACATTGAGAGCATATTTAGGCATAGACCACTTTTGAATTGTATTCTACCACATGTGTAGTTTAAATGATATTGACTAACTTATGTTAGACTAATCTACAATTACTGGGTGATATTTGTCTAGACTTTTAAGCTTTGATTTTATTGCTTCAATCAAGTTGGAATTAGGCAACTTGTCTAAGCGTTTTGACATCCCTTGCACTATGTTAAGATGTTGTATGGTTGAAAGTGATCGGTAGGAAAATCAGTTTAACACAAGTTACGTTCTAGTTTGCACTATCCACATATACATAAATACAGTCTTAAGCGAACTGTTACTGCCTTTTGAATTCCCACTCACGCTATCCACTTTCACATGTTGAGAAGCTTCCAGGAAGCCGCCCGCGTTACGACTAACTCTCAGTAGGACTGAGATATCTAAAATCTAACTGATCGTTCAGTAATAATCAATCTTATGGAAGTGTAAATACCAATGTGTTCGACATCTGAAATTATTGATCTAAATCCTATTTGAAACCAAGAGTTTGTACAGCTGAGAAATTCTAATAGACTATGTAAATTATCATCGGTACTCTACCCAAAATCAAAATGAATTTTAAATCCCGTTGTACATCACATTATTAATTAAACAATAAATATGATCTATAAAGTATTTAGTTATCTTCAAGATCATCACAGAAAACTCCACATTTTCCGTTTTAACTTAATACACTTGATCTGTAACATAAAAGTATACCTCTGTGAAAAGTTATCGTAAGTTAAAAACAAATAGTTGTAAATTAACAGGTTGTTTTTCTTCTTCTAAAAAAAAAACAGAGATGGAATCAATAGAATGTAGGCGTCAAAACAACATAGAAAGATCATCATAATTTGTATTCACAACAAATTAGAATAGTTTCTATCTCATTTTCACTTTGATTTATAATAAGGTCGATTGAATTCATATCAAATTCCTAATTACATAACACTGTTAGTTAAAAATTTGCTCAACTTTTACTAAACTAATTGAATGGAATAAAGTTTTCACCATAGACTGATGTAATTATTCAATTTCTGATAAGATTATTGATGTTAATGATGGTTTAATTTCTTTATATTAAGTTTCATTTCTTCATACAACTCAGCATAATTTCATATCGAACACTCACAATGCTATAAATGAAATTGCTTCACAAAAAACTAGGCTTCAAGTTTATATCAGACTAAGTCAGAGAAATTATTTAATTTTCAAATCATCAAGATGATAATTGTGTATTAATAATACAATTTTACATTTATTATTTTCAATCAGTAACGTATGGAAAGTTTATGCAGATTATTGATTTTCATAGTTTACATCATAAGACTGCAACAATCTTGACATACTGTCTGAAATGACTAGTTTTAAGAGATGATATTCATGAGCTCTAATAAGAAACCTTGTCTAGTAGAATCCATCAATGTCAGAACTGAGGCATATACCAACCAGTGACACTAAAGAAATAACGGTTATGACACCTTATAAAATGATCAATGTAAGAAAAGTAAACTACTAAATGTTAGTTAATTGGTCTAAAGATTAGGCGTTTATTCCAAGATATGAACGTACTGATTATGATCTTCCTTTTGTGAAGTCACTGATTCACACTACTAATAAATTTCAACATTAAGATGTAAAATCTATTCTAATTTTCTTGGTTTATGCTAGTTCTTTAAGTAATTTTAACCTAGATTGTACACTACTATTCGGTCGTGCACAGACAAAATTGCGACACTACGAATCATCGTCAAACAATCAATTGAGTGGAACTCATCACTGTACATCAACTTCATTGATTATGAAAAGGCATTTGACAGTGTAGATAGGAGAACGTTATGGAAACTTCTTCAAGACTACGGCGTTCCTGAGAGGATTTTCAACATTATCCGGAACTCATACGACGGACTACAGTGCAAAGTAGTGCATGGAGCACAGCTGACAGATGCATTCCAAGTAAGGACCGGAGTCAGACAAGGCTGTCTACTCTCTCCCTTCCTGTTTCTTCTGGTGGTCGACTGGATTATGAAGACCTCGACATCTGAGGGAAACTACGACATACGATGGACAGCTCAGAACCAATTAGACGACTTGGACTTTGCAGATGACCTAGCCCTCCTATCGCATACACACAAACAAATGCATATAAAGACAGCCAGCATAGCAACAGTCTCTACATCAGTAGACCTCAACATACACAAGGGGAAAACCAAGGTCCTCAAATGCAACACGGAGAACAGCAATCCAATCACTCTTGATGGTAAAACTCTGGAAGATGTGGAATCCTTCACATACCTGAGAAGCATCATCGATGAACAAGGAGGTTCAGATACAGACGTAAAGGCAAGGATTAGCAAGGCAAGGACAGCATTCCTACAGTTGAAGAACATATGGAACTCAAAAAAACTTCCAAACAATATCAAAGTCAGAATCTTCAATACCAACGTCAGGACAAACAGTTCTACTGTACGGAGCTGAGACTTCGAGAACTACTACAACCGCCATCAAGAATGTACAAGTATTTATCAATAGCTGTCTACCCAAGATACTCAACACCCATTGACCGAATACCATCAGCAACAGCCTTCTGTGGAAGAGAAAAAACTAACTTACAGCTGAAGAGGAAATTGGGAAAAGACGATGGAAATGGATAGAACATACATTGAGGAAATCATCAAACTGCATTACGAGGCAAGCCCCCACTTGGAATCCTGAAGGGAAGCGGAAAAGAGGAAGGTCAATGAACACATTACGTCGGGAAATAGAAGCAGATATGAAAAGGATGAATAACAACTGGAAAGAGCTGGAAAGGATTGCTCGGGACAGGGTTGGATGGAGAACGCTGGTGAGCGGCCTATGCACCTTCACGAGGAGTAACAGGCGTAAGTAAGTAAGTACACTACTATTACATATATATATGAAGAAAAGATATTGTAGAAGCAAACTTGATTTTCCCGTTTGACTGTTATGATTAATTAAATGAATAAGAAATTGGCATTCATATCTAATTTTATATTATTTACATAATATTGAATACAGAATGTTTGTGTGTTATAATAATAATAATTTACTTATATTCTATTGGTTATTAAAATGTGAACAAATTGCGCGAAATTATCCAATCAAATGATTTCTTACAATTTCATTAACCCTAAATATTATTTAACATGAATATTGGTTATATGCATTACTTATTTAGGCATAGATACAAACTTTTTTCTTTGTGTGTGTACGTGCGTGTACCTGTGTGTGCGTGAACATAGTTTCAGTAAGATAGTTTAACATCACAAGATCTTAATAATTATATTCATCACGATAGTTAAATAATAATAATAATAATATTTTCCAGGTCATTTCACTAGTTATTCTGCCAACCGGATATATGAAATGAAAATTTTCATTTCAAGTAGTTTACTTTTTAAAAAAATAAAATATCTTGATGTGTTTTTCATGCTATTCACATGTATGAATATATATATATATATATATATATATATATATATATATATATATATCATTAGAAGGGGTTTTGTGGAGATGGTAGTAATTTCAATGGTTGAGATCTTGAGTCATTTGAAGCTAGACGACCATTGAAAACCTGGAAGCACTGGATGACTGTTTTGTCCTATTGTGGGACTCTTTGGCAGTACACATCCACGACCCGGCCTTGTGAAATTCCATCCCAGGACCTATCAGTCTTCCAGATTTTCCATGGTGATCTAGCTTCAACTGACTCATGATCTCAACTATTGAAATTACTACAATCTATACAAAACCCCTTCTGATACTAATCAGTATATGCTCACTAGTGACTGCCTTCAAGAGGTATTTTCTGGAGTTCTAGTGGGATCCAATGACCAGTGGAGTTCAACCGAGTTTGTTGTGAGATTGTAACACACTGATGACAATGGTGGATGTTTCACTCAAATTCGTGGATTCGTTGAAGTTAGGGATTTACACCGTTGGATGCCCGTCGGCTCAGTGGTCTAGAGGTTAAACGTTGGCGTATGAAACTGATAGGTGCTGGGTTCAAATCTCGCGAGGCGGGATCTTAGCTGAGCACTTCTAAGGAGTCCTACAATAGGACGAAACGGCCGTCCAGTGCTTCCACGTTTTCCATGATCGTCTCACTTCAATTGACTCATAATCTCAACTATTGAAATATATATGTAACGTTAATCATAAATACGAAATTTTTAGGACAGGGGTTTTGTAATGATTGTTGAATTTGTGTAGTTTATATTACTGAACAATTTTAGTTAGATCATTACTAGAAATGAAGAAGCATTAGACACCCGTTTTCTTTTTGTACGGAACTTTTTGCCAATGTGTATTTATAACAGTGTCGTAGGGAATCGAACACAAGATCTTCGAAGCTTGCGGTTATTTGCTCAACTGAGACCACTGAATCGGCATTCAGTCGTATATATGTCTAACTAGTTAATCATTAAAATCCATAATTATCCATTATCTGTGGTAAATAACTCTTTCAAATCCGACAATAACTGAACCTCACTGATCACTAGTTCTCACTAGAACTTTAGAAATTGTATCTTGAAGTAAGTAAGTAAGTATAGAAGGATTTGTGTAGATTGTACAACGTTCAAAATTTGAGTTATGATTCAATCCATTGATATAGAGTAGTGAATGTACACTAGTGAGAAATCTCATACTAGTATAGAATGTCTATCCAATGCTTCTAGGTTTTCAATAGTAATTTAGATAACAATCAAATTATTATTTAAACTACAAAAATTAAAATATTTTTTTTCACTTTCTAAGACAATGTTGATTCACATGACAAATTATGTATATAGTATAATTACTATGTCAGGCACCAATCCAAATATACCGATTTAATTTAATATCAAGTACTAAAATATCATATCCTTAAAATATATAATCAGTCAAACTCTAAATAATGATGATTATAAGAGGATTTATTCAAGTAGAAAGGAACACATTTGAGACAGAAGAAGATTTTCAATTCAATACTCATAAATCGTCTAGAGATAACTAATAAATTCATGAAATGAGTTATTACATAGGATTGTAAAGAAACTTAAGAGAAAATAATATTGGTCATGTTTATAAAATATGTATGAGATTTATGTTAACTGATTTTCAATGAACAAGATATTTCATTGAAGGAAGTTTAGACTATAAATATAACTTACAAATGAAATGTATTTCACAAAAGATTAAAATAGATATTTTAACAGTTGAATTCATGAGTCAATTAAAGCCAGATTAGGACTACAGATAGCCTTTTTTTTTTGTAAATGTAAATCACTTAATAGCAATTCATTATATAGATAACTATTTTTGAGAATATGATTACGGCTTTTCATTAGAACTCAGATGGAATCATGTTGAAGCCAGTCACTAGTAAACACGTCGATCGATGGAAGTTAGACATTAACACCGTTGGATGCTGGCTCAGTGATTTAAAGGTTAGGCGTCCGCGAAACCGAAAGTCCTAGATTCGATTCCCTTGTGCGGGATCGTGAACACACACGACTGAGGAGTCTCGTATTGGGACAAAACGACCGTCCAGTGCTTAAATGTTTGTTGTCTAGCTTCAATTGACTCATGAATTCAACTATTAAATTACTATAATATCCACGAGTACTCTTATCTGATTAAAACAGATATACTGTAATGATTGTAAAATGAAGATTTGATGATCACAACTTATGGACCTATTGCACAAAGTTATATAATAATGATTTAATTGTATACTACTCAATTTTACACAAGCAGACAAATATTCTTTCTTTCTTATCTACTCAATTATTTTTTGAGTTTTTCAATATTAGTCTAACTAAAATTAGTTCATAATTTAAACTGTGGACAATTTTACAGTCTATACAAATTCACTTATATGAATCAAAGAAACTAGTTACATTTTCAACTTTCTGTTTTTGTTCTGATAATGAAGAGAGAGAGAGAGAGAGAAAGAGAAAAAAAGCACATTTTGTTATGATAATCACTGACTAATTTCCCGCCATCTTCACTTTCCCCATTCCTAGTTGTTATGCGTTTGACCAGTTAACAAAATACACAGATATTTAGTTCAGACATTTTTGTGTGTGTATATGTGTATGTGTATATATATATGTGTGTGTGTTAAATTAAGTATTTCACATACATATTTTACTGATTAATTAGGTCAGTAGACAGAGTAGTTTATTTACTTAGTTCAATTTATTGTTTTTAAATTAAAATTATAATATTATTAATAATTTGTTTTAGTAAACATTATGATAAATTTTTAGAAAAGTGACTTCTTAAAAAAGTTAAATGCAACAGATATGCCTTACTAATACATACTAGATCATATGAAACCGATGTCAAGTAAGGGTTGCTATAGATTACCACTAACCAACATTCTTAACTGTTTATTTTTATATTGGGATTGAATATAATCAGGTAGATTGTTCAATCTGTATTATGATGGTTTAAATCATGGACTAACTAAAGGTAAAAAAAACCATTGAAATACAACTGTTTAATGCTTTATATATCACGTTCACTGTACTTCAATGTCAGGTGGTTGGAGGTAATCAGTCGATATGAAAACCTACTTGATCTAGACATGGTGCTGGTTACCACTTACCAACAAGGTATACTTGTAATATTGATATGTTCTTCATAAGATTTGAACTGGTTTGACTTAGTTTCACAGTGTGATATGTTATCACTTAACAGTGATGAGCAGAGATATCTGTTCACGTGATTTTGAGTCACTTAGATTAATGGACATAACAATTGATCATTTGATTTAGATCAGCATTCCAAGATTGAATGAGTAGTCTATTGATCACTACTGAATGCCAGATATCACGAAATTTAGGTCTTAGGTTTCCTTCCAATCATCTTTAATCTACTCTACATAATATGGGGAACAGGAATACATCACATTTGATATGATTTATTCACAGTTATATTGGGTATATAAACCAAAGTGATTTGTATTTAATCTTACTGTATGAACATATATCTACCATATCATAAAATTAAGAATCTGTAACTATCTGACTATGTCACATAAGAACTCTTAAAACATGATTACATGTCAAAAACGAGTGGGAAAATTTTTATTTCATATGCCATTCGCTCTTCACCATATCAGAAAATTTTTCATTAACAGTTTAAAAATATGTAGAATGATATCTTTGTGACTACTAGTGAAGTTCAAATACACCCAGTGTGAGGTAATTGAAAAATGATTAGTCCCCTAATAATAAAAGTTAGAAGTGTAAACTATCGGATACCAACTAAATGATTTGGTCTTTTGTTCGATCTATGATGGGTTTGTAGATGCATACTAATCCTGAGAAGCCTTATATTAGGACAAAACAACTGTCTAGTGTTTAGTGGCTTCCAATATTTATCAAAGATCAATTAGCGATGAAAGTTATGGAACTGACTAATCTCTGTAAACCCTCTATTGTAAGTTATATGACCGCTTTTTGCTTCAAAGGACTGTTTTTATTCAGTTTTACGTGTAAAGGTTTCTACGTTCTTATGGTTAAATTTTAAGACTGTATTTGATGATCAACGTTTACTGGATCGGTGAGTGAATGGCTTATATTTCCTGGTAGCCATATATTTATTGTGAGAAGAGAGGTAATTCCTGGGGTTCCGGTGATGGATCATTATCTATAGAGTTTAACTATTTCGGATGTGAGGCCATTGCCTACCAATGGCATCTGAATATTATTGCGTAACTACGTGAATTGACTGATGTTAATTATAAGATGACAAGATATTAGCTTTAAAGCTAAGAGCCCATCGTAAGACCTCGGGGTGCTAAAACAATCATGAAATTACTCAGCTTTCGTTATTCAAAATAAAGTCTTCGTAGTATTGGTAACTGTGCGTGTTTCCTTTTTTAATCCAATTTTTTGCATGAACTTTGACTTTTTCGTTTGACTGTTTAGCACTAGTTTTAATTGGCTGATTTTCTGTATCCTTCAAGGTTGCCCCTTCCAGCCAAACAAGTTGGTGAAGCCTGGTAGGCCCTTCTGGAGAGAAACAGGCCACATCGAAGCATGGCACAACTACCGGGGCTAGAATAGTTGTTTCTGCAATCCTTTGGAGTTTGCCCAATGACGAGCAACTCCATATGATACATGCACCACTTTCAAAATTTTTTTGTCTTTTTCCATTCCAAATGTAATTGTGCTATGATTCTTTGTGGATTTCGTAATCAGTTGGTGGGTATAGGTTGAGTGGGTGATTAGCCCGATCTCTACCACCCAGGTTACCGCTCACGTTAGTTCATGAGACATTCGTCTCATTATCCAGGAGGCACGACGCGGACGTGTGAGTCGGATTTTGCCTCCCATCCTTCAAGGTAACGCTTTTGTCACCATATCTTACTGAATTGTACAATGTCAAGTGTTTATGTTTGAACATTAAATATTCTCTACACTTAATTTTCTCCATGTGCTAGAGGTGAATTGTTGAAATATTAGATGTCAGCTTCCGTCTTTGAGTCTACAATTTCTGTTAAACTATTCATTCTAATCTTGACAAATATTCGTATACAATAGAACTGTTTGTATAAGAATAATTTGATCGTTCTGTTATTGTGAAGTATCATAGACTAACTAAAATCCCCATTAGATAAAATAGTTTTTCCGAAGATTTAACAAAGGATATTGTGATCATTCAGGTGTGTATTGATGGACAGTTCCGTAGTAAGACGAAACAAATGATTTGTGTGTGTTGGTCTATTAATCTCCACAAACATTATATGTTTCATCCTAATTTGAACTCATTATCAATCGAATAAATCTAAGGGGACATTCAAAATGACCAATAGAAAATAAGTCAAAATGTACCTCATTAATTTTATTGAAGATACATTAAATAGACTTGGTGATTTATTGTTTTTTTTTTTAAAAAAAAGTAAATTATTCCATTCTGGTATATTCACTCTTTTTTTTTGTTTTGTTTTCTTGTTTTATTCAATATTAAAAATTTTAGGCTCCTTTACCAAATACATTTGATAGTTTTTGGACAATGATATGGGAACAAAATACAAGTGTTATTGTAATGCTTACTAAACTTATTGAAATAGGACAAGTGAAATGTGATCAATATTGGCCAAATACTGGAACATTAATTTTTTCTGATAAATTAATTGTAACACATTTAGAAACTAATGAATTAGCTAATTATGTAATACGTTGTTTTGAATTGAAAAAAGATAAGTAAGTATTATTATTATTATTATTATTATTATTATGGTTTGAGGCCAATTTATACATTCGAATCAAGAATGATAATTTTTTTTTATAGAATAGATAGATCGTAGTTAGCAGAAGAATCTACGAAACATATTCAATCATGTTTAGTATTGATCAGTTGGATGTATATATCATACCCTAGTGTTGATGTTCACATTAGGATTCGAATTGAGCAAAATTTCGATTCAAACATCTAACACATTATTAGCTGAACTAATGAATTCAGATAATTATTAACTTATTAATGTATGAAGTTTACATGAACATCAGTAAAGATTTGATTTATCCTATTGTTAATATTCAGTATAGAATCTTTTGTAGTATAAATGTTTCGTTATGATTTTATTTTGATACAGCTAGCAGCGAATAGTATTCAGGATTAATTATAATACAAACATTGTATCCTTTGAATGAGTTATTGGTTATCGGGACTTAATACCTCAGTGAATAATGTATTGAAACTTAAAATGGAAGATGTATGATTTCAAGTTGTTATCCAACTATCAGCCATATACCACATTTATATTTATAAAATATGATTTATAGTTTAATAAATCATTTCAAATATATATAAGTCAACAGATAAACAAAAAAAATTTTTTTTTGTTGACCTTTGAAATATTGCCAAAAAAACAAGCGAGTTAAATAATAATGATCTGTAGAAAAAAAATAGTTGACATACCACAAATAATCGTTCGCACCCAACCAACCAAACACCCACCCACCCACATACCCACATACACATAAACAGATAAACAAACAAACAAACAACAATTACAAATATTTTCGTCATTTATATTGTTTATAATTTGCCTATTTTTTTATCTTTTATTTTATGATATAAAGTGCTTTTTCTATTAAAAAAAATAATACCAGAATGGCATAACAGACAATAAGGAACTACGTAAATAATCTCCATTACAATGTATTAATGACCATGATTGACAACAGTTTTATGATTCGAAGGTATAATTTATTTTTTTAAAAATATTTAAAAAAGGACATAGATACATAAGTGTTGTAAAAGAAGCATTTTGTTTATTTAAAATACTCAGTGATTCGGGTAAAAAAAAGACTTTTACTTTCGTAGTGAACGTGAACATAGGTGGAGACAGCCAAATGTACTTAAATACAACATTACAGAATCTTTTAGAAAAATTTGGGAATTATAAATTAGGTACTTCATTCGCAAAATGTCAATCAATTGTCTCAGACTTGATTGTTCCCTTGTTTCCACACCAGTTATTCTCTGTTCTCATTCTGTTTACTTCGATCGTCTTGACCTTCTGCCGCTAGACATTTGATTTTCTATTGATGGTGCATACTACTTATATCTGCCGATATTAGTAGCATACACCATACTTTATTGACAAACTAATCAGATTCAAGATAGCAGAACTTGGATTATTGCGAAAGCGTTTGTATATTCCCGTTGATATTAAGCACTACGAATTGATTAATCCAATTTTAAAACATGTGGCTCCCAAGTGAATTGCTGTAATATGGTCAGATATTTTTAAGTATTAAACCTAATTGTACAATCCAGTAACTATCTAGCTCAAGGGATAACGCACTGCCTATTCATTTTACATGTCGCTGATAGTTACCAAATAAAATATACTTTCAGCTTATCATTGATAATTTGGTGTATCAAGGTTCAAAAATAGAAGGAATAGATATGAAAATAAACAAATTGGCTTCACACCAATATACGTATAGTTACCAATTCGATTGTTTGTTAGCAGAGATTAATTCACTTTGGTTATAGATTAACTTTTAAACAAAACTATCCATATGAGAATAGAATTATACTGCTCAAATTATACAATAAGTAATCAGTTTCAAATAAATACTTTTCTTTTCTAACTTATGTGGAAATTCCTGTTTCTTTATTTGTAAATAAAGACAGAATTTTTATCGTCAAGCCTAAATATCCTGTCCCATCCCAAATGACCTTGTTCATGTAGATTGTTAAAGAGTCTCATAATAGAATAAAACAGTTATCCAGTGACTTCTGGTTTTCTTAATGATTCATTCACAAAAGTTAATCTATGATGAAACTATCTTTACATAAAATGTATCTACAAAAAATCATTATAATGTAAGACATTTGTCTATTAGGTAAAAGAAATCTATAAATTAATCTGAATGTACACTGTTGAATGTCTGGAGGTAGTCATTAGGAAACATCACTTGTTTTAGGCAACGTGCTAGTTATCATCGGTCAACCAATTGTACCTGTAAACTTGAGAGTACTAATGTTCCCTGTAATATTTAAAACTGTGTCATCTAACATCACTGTTTAAAACGATAACACTGAACAATTCAGGGCACTTTTGACCTCTTGTAAGACTATGATATCTTTTAACAATTGATTGGACATTATATTCTGACTTTTGTTGTGTTTGCCTAGTCCTAATAACGAAGGTTGAATCCTATCGATTAGCTTATAGTTTAGTTACTTGTCTGGGTGACTTGATATCATTTGCACTATGTATAAATGTTTGTTTGTCGAAGGAAGTTAACAGGATACTCTAATGGATCTCAGATCCTTACTAGTTGGTACTCATCAATAAGGTGTACCTGTAATCATGAAAGAATTGATCCTCCTTGCGCGATTTGAATCTATTTAGATAGGAAATGTGATCAGTTGTAAAGAATTGGACAAATAGGACTTTAGTCACTGCCTAGTGATCCATTAGCGATCAGACATTATTTTCACGATTAATACTTTATAAAAGCAGTATATCATTTTTACAGAAAAAAGTATAAGTTTCTAATTTTTTAATGGTATCACTAACTGAATTTCAAGAAGAAATTGTAATGTTTCCTTACAAAACTGACTGTTCTAATGCAACAGACTGATATTTTTGCCTTAAAAGAAATTTTAGTCGTATAGTTACGATCTCTAATAATTAAGACCGCTCCTCTCTCTTTACTAGTCATACAAAATTTAAACAATGCTATCATCACTGTTGTGAGATACAATTAAGAAATTCGTCTATTGGTGTCTCATGAACTAAATTAGACATAAGGAGGGCTATCGCCACTAATCTGAAGATATACTACTAAATGATTAAATAATTGCAAATACATCTATCTAACAGAATGTCAGTGGTAACATTTTGAATTTTAAAACGGAGTGATATGGATTAGAATTTCACAAGGAGGATCATTTTCTTCAAAATTACAGGTAAGTCTCCCTTACGAGTACTAAAATATCAATAAGCCTAGATTATTCAGGGTAGTTTTGTCGAATACATTCAATCACCCAATACGTTAAATTTCATTTAATCTGATCAGTGTTAATTTCATATAAGTTTCGATTGTGAAATTACGCATTTTTATACTCCTTGCAATACAAACTGATTAGCTACATCGAATCAGACTGATTCTTGATAAAGTTCACTTCCAAATGATTGTATGAAAATTAATTAAACATACTAATTGGTTATTAATTTATAAACGAATTTCAGTATAGGGTTGTGGAGATTGTTGAGTATCAATGAAACCATGGACAGATCAATGTTAAATTTTAATCAAATCTGTAATTTCACTAAAAAGCGATATGTACTTTAACGTTTGTGTTTTCTTTAGTTGAATACATCAATCTATTTACTATTATACACAGTATAAGTTAAACTTAATGCTTCTTAACCGCTCCTTTTTGTTTCATTTAAATTCTGTGTTTACCAGAGAACATAGAAAAATTTGGCATTTGCAATATACAAGTTGGCCAGATCAAGAAGTACCAACTTATTCTACTGTATTCTTAATGTTTCTTCGACGTGTTGGTACAATTACACCGAACGATTGTGGTCCAATTGTTGTACATTGTTCATCAGGAACTGGAAGAACAGGTAAGAAATGCATCTATTAGCACTATACTATTGATATACAAAGAAGGATGATAATAATAGTAATAAAGATTATAATCTATTGACAAAAAACTTTAGAACTGAACATTTTGACGAGACGATAATTTATAGACAAACTGTAATTGATACTAACTTCAACCACTTAATATTGCCAAAATGCGGTTATGAAGTATTATTAGGAATTGGGAACAAGAGTTGGAGGTAGTAATTTCAACTGTCTCTAATTTAAATTTGACTAATTGGTTTATAAATTATAAATCCCGCCAACTTTTAAAACTGAATTAATTTCAATGGTTGGGATTATGAGTCAACGGAAGCTAGACCACCATGGAAAACCTGGAAGCACTGGACGGCCCTTTCGTCGTATTGTGGGACGCCTCAGCACTGCGCAGCCACGATCTGCCCTGCAAGATTCGAACCCAGGACCCATCAGTATCTCATGTGAATGCTTGACCTCTAGACCACTGAGCCGGCCGGCATCCTATGGTGTTAATGTCTAACTCCAACTAATCCAAGAAATTGAGGGACACGAACTTCTTGGGGTTCTAGTGAGAAGCAGTGACCAGTCGAGTTCAACCAAGTCTTTTGCGAGATAATAACTCACTGAAGGCAATTGTGGATGTGTCGCTCAAATTTGTGGATTAGTTGGAGTTAGAAATATATACCATTGGATGCCATCCGGCTCGTTGGTCTAGAGGTCAAGCGTTCGCGCGTGAGACTGATAGGTCCTGGGTTGGAATCTCTCGAGGCGAGATTGTGCCTGCGCACTGCTGAGGAGTCCCATACTGGAACGAAACGGCCGTCTAGCGCTTCTAGGTCTTCTATGATGGTTTAGCTTAAATCGACTCATGATTTCAACTATTAAATTACTATATTATCCACCAAAACCATTCTGATATGAGTTAATTTCACTGACAAAATATCAGAAGCTATGTATAGATTTCTACTGTAATAAGCTTAATTGTACCTATATATATATATATATATATATATATACTCAAGTTTTAATCCCAATGTAAACATCAAGACTAGGAAAATTCACTTACATCCAACTAACAAATCTGGAATACAACATAACTAACATCCTGAATCTCATCTCTAATCACAATCTTTGAAATGATCTTTATCCTAATTATTAAAGAACATTTTTCTAACATTATATAATAGGACAAAACGGCCATCCAGTACTTCCAGGTTTTCCATGGTGGTCTAGTTTCAACTGACTCATGATCTTAACCATTGAAGTAACATTATATAATATGTTGACTACCTCGAACTATCATCTTATTATATGATATGTATTTAATTTCAATTCAAAAATTAATATAAAATCAATTTTTATGATCATATCATTAAAAAATCAATGAAATCCTCTTTGAAAACTTATATTTCTTATAACACTATACTATAAAACCTAAAATGAACCTAATAACCAACATAACCATTGATAACTTGAATTTGGTTACATTATAGAGTTCTTATCATAACTATTAATGCGCATTCTATACAAAACAACATTAAAGTATCTCTTAAAAAATCTGGAAAAAAGAAATTATTCATATTATGTTTTAGGATTTATTTATAACCATTATAATAATAGTAGTAATATTATTATTATTATTATATAATAGTGATTGCGTGACCAATTCATGGTTTAAATTAATCTCAATGGATTATATAATCTTTTTTTTTCATATCAAGAATGAAACATTACGTAATCTATTGTTACATGGTTGATTATCTTCATTAAGATAATATTAATAGTAATCATTAATATACTACTAATAAATGTATGTAGGCGATAGTACAAATGAAAATAATCAAGTTTTTAGTTACAATATATATATATATATATATATATATATATATATATATATATATATATATATATACAATACGTGCGCTTATTTCTATTTATAAATGCTTAATTGTTCTTTGCACACATTCAGTGAAAATTTGGTTTCATCGGGTACTTTTTAAAAAAAAAAGGGAATTGCTTTTAACCCAAAATGTTTTCATCTATAAATGAATGAGATTACCTTTTCTTTTTTTAGAACATAATTTAAAATGAATTAATTTGTATCTTTTTTTGTTGTTGTTGATAAATATTAATAAGGAAAGTCATTTTTATTATTTATTTATATAATGACATTTTATATATATGAATGAACGAGACTGATAGGTCCTGGGTTGGAATCTCATGAGGCAGGAGTTCCACAATAGGATAAAATGGCCGTACAGTGCTTTCAAGTTTTTCATAATGATCTAGCTTCGATTGACTTATGAATTCAATTAATAAAATTGATATTTATAAGATGAAAGAAGTAATTCTTAAGTATGTTAAATGAATAAGTAGATGTAGTAATTTCACAGCAAATATTTAGAAAAATGTTTGATCACGTTTATAATAGGTAATTAGCACACTACATAATGTGGATCGTAAACATAACAATATCAGGCAAACAGTAATGGAACGTACAGGTCTTACACCATTTGGATCTTACACATTTGAACTGCTGGTACAGTGTCTCAACTACGGTAATCTTTAATGCATAGTATTTGGAGTTCTGTTTTCGTACTATTGACAGTTATCATGGTAAATGTGTTCTAGGTTGTTAAGTGAAAGAAAATTATTTGCAGTTAGTTTATTCTACAAGGTTAGTACACACAGTTAAAATGAAAAGAAATCCTGTTTGATCTAGGTTTGCTTTTAGTTATTAGCATACACCGAGAAAATATATTTGGAAATGTGTAAAGTTTTGCTATTCCCTGTGAGATTCGAACGTGCGTCACTTAGTGTCTCAGTTAGTTGTTTGGGTTATGATTTACTTCTTGAATGACTTTAATGTTTTTAAGCTGATTAGTCGTTGAATAGAATATTCTATGGTATACTTGACTATCGTCCAAATTGTAACTTGATCAATAGAATTCGATCACTATTAAGGACTAGATAAGCATGATTTCAGTCACTGCTCAGTGTTTAATGAACTTCTAATGATATAAACATATATATCTGGAACGGTTAGTTCTAATATGGATATTTATATAAATCTGGATATATTAATAGGGAAACAAGCTGTATGTACTACTAATTATTAGTTATCTCGTAATCTAAATTGTGAAATGGATAAAAATCTCAGAGCTCTTTTCTGTATTAAATTTTTGATTGAAAGTATAAAACTTCACTGTATATGTAGTTTTCTGTTTACCCCTTATGAAGATTATTCATTGTTAACCTCTATGATTATTTTTTCATCATGAACCGATATCCAGTAGAGAGTCATTGAAAACCAAAAATAATTAGATTACTTTGCTATTCTAGTTTAAAATTTCGTATCAGTGTTTGTTTAAGATCACATACAACACAAATTCAACACCCAGATGTATGTATAGAAAGCTCAATATTATCGAGTCAGATTTCAACATTTAACATTCTCAACTTCAGTCAATATTTAGCGTTATACAAAAGTTAATCATTTTCACTGATACATCGTAGTCAAATATTGAATTTGGTTGACTCCACAGGTTTTTGAGGTTCAATGAACATTAGGTAATTTATTAGAGGTATCCGAAAAATTACTTTAAAACAATAAATTTCAATAAAGATATTCCTTTTCTACAATTGTATTCAAAGATTTACATAATTTAGTATACAGAGCAATCTTAGTCGAACAACTATTGAAAGTTAGGAAGCACTAAGAGACAGTTTCATCCTTAAATGTGATTCTTGCTCAATGCACGACGACGGAACCCAGTACCTTTAACATCACCAGTCAGTTCTTGACCTTTGAACCATCGAGCCTGACTCCAACGACTTCAGTAAATTTCATCCCTGATATAGGCTTGGATTTGCACTCGTAAGAGGTCACATACTCAGATGATATATTTGTCCACTGTTTATTATTCTATAGTAATTACCTAAAAAAGATCAGTCCGTGGTGTTGACTATAAAATTCAACTATCCCCACAAGCTCTATATTGTATTAATAGTGCGTTATTTATTAAACAAAAATGTTCTTTGACATCATATTCTATTTTTTATTTATATAGGTGTTTATATAGCAATTAATATATTGCTGGAACGTATAAAAAATGAATCAGTGATTGATATATTTGGTTTGGTGAATCAATTACGTTTGCAACGTAATTATATGATTGAAACACAAGAACAATATCAATTTATATACACTGCATTACTTGAATCAATTACAGATGGAAATACAGAAGTATCTGCACGTAATCTATACACACATTTACAACATTTATCTATATTACAAACTACTACCACTACTATAAGTAGTACAAATGATTATATTAGTAATTTCAACAGTTCATTATCAACAACTATAACACCAACAACTACATCAGTGAATAATTTAAACGAACTATCTAACAATACAACGACAACAAATTCATTAGGTCTTACTGGTTTTCAATTAGAATTTCGTAAAATTAATAAATTATCACCTAATATAACTTTAGCATTGAATTGTGGTCAAACAAAAACTGGTTTTGTAAGTTATACACCACCTGGAAGTCCTATGCATGGTTATAAATTAAGTGTATCATGTGATGTAGCTAAACGAAGTGTAAGTTTAAGTGATATTAATTAATGTTTTAATTGAAAAAGTTTTATGGATATTGGTTATACTAATCAGAGGTTGATTCCATTGGAGGTAGAATTGAACACCAGAGAGCACTAAACAGCTACTTTATTCCAGTATAAGAAGTTATCATTAAATATTGGCAGCGAAACAGATTCTATCAAAATCACTGGATAATCATCTCACTATATCGCTAAGGAATTGAAGTTACAGTTGCACTTTTTGACTGTACTTAACCAACTCTAATAGTTTGTCAGGATACATGTTCCTGGGTTCAATCCCTAGTGAGATTATAGTTATGCATTACTGGGAAATTGTATACCAGGACAAAATAACTGTCTAGTGCTTCCTGGCTTTCAATGGTACTTCAACTGAATATAATCTTTGACAGCAGCTAATCATAATTTCATTTACATAAAACACTAAAAATGTATTTATCCAAAAACACAACGTTCTCAATAGTGAAATAAAAAATCGTTAAGCTTTCTGGATGTTTGCTTATAGATTCTTATAGACTCTTGATTTTAGACCAAGAATTATATCTTTGAACAATCAAGCCAGAATTCATTCGTCTTCACTTTTAACTTCGGTTGATTTACATATAAAGTGTTCACCTCTCTGTGACATCAGAGGTAACTATCTTAATTAGAACATGACAGATTTTATAGATCGCGGATTTTCGTTAAAACCAAACATTTCATGTTGACGCTTAATCTCATTACATATAAATTTTGAAGTAGTGTCATAATGATTTATATGGAACGGGATTACAACTAAAACGTTTCAAATGGCTGATTAAAAAAATCCAAATATACTACTGTTATTACTACTAATCTACTATTAATTAGTCGTACGGTTTCCCAACATATCATAAAAATACGAGAAGTGCAACTACTCCAATTATATGTGAGCTGAATAATTTTTTTTGACTACTAATTTATTACAGCATTATTGACCCCAAAAGTTAAATAAATACGTTTATTTAATATTTAGATTTATGAGTCAATTGAAGTTAAACCACCATGGAAATCCTAGAAGCACTGGACGGCAATTTCGTCCTAGTACGGAACTCCATATCAATGCGCATTCACGATCTTGCCTCGAGTGATTCGAAAAAAATGTTTATACTTACTTAAAAAGCGATCGTAACTGATTTTCAACAACAACGAAATTAATATGAGAAGGGGTTTTGTGGAGATTGTATTAACCTGGAAGCTTCCAGGTTTTCCATGGTGGTCTAGCTTCAACTGACTCATGATCTTAACCATTGAAAAAACAAAATTATCTTTAATGTTAGTCAAGCTAATATAAAGATGTAAAACAATGAGTAATTTATAATTGTAGGCACAATCAGTTGGCAAGTTTTAAATAGGATAAAAATGGCATCATGAATTTCATTGTTAAATATAATCTATCTATTCCGTTAACAATTGACAGATAAATGTTTATCTATTCTAAATTGTATATACTACTATCAGCGTTATTATTAGTTTAATTGACATTCAAGATTTCATTATATTATTATTATTATTATTATTAGTAGTAGTAGTAGTAGTAGTAATAGTAGTAGTAGTAGAAATAATAATATATCAGGGTTTATGGCGATCACTGAATTTGTTAGTTTACATCATGAACTGATCAGAATTAAACAACCTGTAAAAATATTTTTTTTAAACAACACTGGATATCAGTCTCGTTTTAATACGGGATTCTTTAACAGTAAGCATTGATGTTTATACTGAAGAACGAACTCAAGACTTTTATTTTTTATAGTGCACACCTAACCTCTAGACCATTGGATTAAATAGTTAGTTGTAGTATACATTTCTAGCTGCAATCGATTCATTGTATCGTACAGCTATCTTAAAATGTTATTAATAGGTAAATATCTTACACTTAACATAAATGAACTTTACCGACCACACCCCTGTAGAATTCATGAGAATTATCTGTAAAAATTATTTACCAGTGAGCAAACGGTAATTATTATTACCATAAATGCAGTTTGTAGAGACTAATGGATTGATCTTAGTTAAATTTTGTTCTTATTTTCCTATATTGTCTACAAATAAAATCGATAACAATTTAAGAACAAAAAAAGAATAAAGATATTGACTCACTGATGACAATGATGGATGTGTCTCTCGATTTCGTGGATTAGTTGAAGTTAGACATTAACACCGTTGTATGCCGGCCGGCTTAGTGGTCTAGAGGTTAAGTGTTTGCACGAGAAACCGATACGTCCTGAGCCGGAATCTCGAGAGGCGGGATGGTAAATGCGCATTGCTGAGGCGTCCCATAATAGGACAAAACGGCCGTCCAATGCTTCCAAGTTTTTCATGGTGGCCTAACTTCTATTGATTCATGATCTCAACTATTGAAATAAAAGGTCAGTAAAAATAAATTAAAAAAAGTCATATATCTATATAATGATAATCATAAATGTATTTCCATATACATTTCAGCTTGGTAACAATAATTTCTCTCATTTATAATTCTATAACTTATGTGTTCGATTTCTTTTCAGACGATAAACTGAACTTTTAAACTTAAATAGTCTATAAATCATGAGTCAATAATAATCTAGACAATTCAGTTCATTTTAGTCATCTGATTCAAAAAAATTTCAATTAAACTATTTAGTTGATGAAATCCAAATCAGAAATGAATATTGAATAAAATGGATTTCAATTGATAAACTTATATATATATATAATAGTTGAATTCACGAATCAATTAAAGGTAGACCACCATCGGAAACTTGGGAGGATTGGGACGCCGTTTCGTTTTAGCATGGGGCTCCTCAGCAGTCAGTATCCACTACTCGACCCGTGAGATTCGAACCCAAGACCCATCGATCTCGCACGCGAACGCTTAACCTGTAGACCATTGAGCCGGCATCCAATGATGTTAACGTCTAACTTCAACCAAATACATACGATTTTCGTAATTTGAAACGTTGTTCAACACTACCCAAATAATCATTTCAATTACTTAATTGCATAACAAATAGTGTGGGTGTGTTAGCGAATAAATAATTTCTAGATTAATTACTTAAAAACTCTGCCATTCAAGACCAAAATCAGAATATTCAATCCTGATTTAAAAATAATTCTGTTATGAAGGTTAGAAACTTGGAGAACTACCACCATCATTATTAAAAAAAGTACAGGTACTTGTAAACAGCTGCACATACTAGATATTTCATATCTATTTTACAGAGGCAATCATCAATAGCTTACTTTCCCAGAGAACAAATCAGCAGATAACTGAATAATAAATCAGTAAAAGGTGTTAAAGGTGGATAGGACATACTTCGCGTAAATCATCAAATTACATCTCAAGCAAGCCATAACTTGAAATGTTCAAGGCCATAAAAAAAAGTAGACCAAAGAATACATTGCGCTGAAAATTGATGATAGACGTTAAGATGATGAAAATAACTTCATGACAACTAGAAAAAAGAGCTCAGGACAGGGTTACTTCATTATTCCTAGTGTTTCGCCTATGCTCCATGTGGAGTACTAAAAACGTTTTCAATAAGATAGTATAGCTTACAGAACTAGTCATGTTGAGAAGTTAAGATAAATAACATGATCATCGTAATTTATCATAAATTGATTAAGGTCGGTTCTTACCAGGTGTTTTAAAGATATGCTTTCCAATAGAATTGTATGGAAGTGTGAATGCTTACTGCTGATGATTTCCAAACTATAACAAAGCAGTTGTCCATTCCATCTTCAATTTCACAGATTCTTACATTTGCGAATATCTGTGATAAAGATACATTTGAGTTTTGAGATGTTTAGTTAACGAATATGTTATTCCAGTGCAATCAATGCCATAATTATCAACATTTGAATCGTCATTTTATACAGACGAACACTTATCAGTTTGATATCTCTGGGTATTTCAACAAGTAGTCTGTTTTCTTGTTTGTTTTAACACATCATTATGCTTATTAGTCTCATAACCTATTCAGGTGCGTTTGTGAAAAGTTTACGACATTTCACCGTACAAGTTACAAAAGAGCTCAATCAGATACATTATGGTTGCTGGCAATATGCATTAAAAAGGATATAAATTTATTAGATGTCGATTTCTGAACCGCTAACATCTAACAGGTGACCACTCAATATTTATCTCAAGGAACTAATCAAGAAATAAGAAAGGAAAACTTGTTGAAATACTTTGTGCTGAGAATTCTAGATTGTTCCAAAAATATAATATTGAATAAAGCCCCTAATAATAATAATAATAATAATAATAATAATAATAATAATAATAATAATAATAATGATAAAATGTTTATTCCAATACTACAAAAATCATATTAAACTATTCCTATCTAGTTGTGTATCTATAAAGCACAATATTTAAGAGTACACTTACGCTTTGATCGTGTTTGTTACAAAGAGTTAGAACTTTACAATGGAATCTGACTAAGTAATTAATAGCAACGTGTCAGAATCTAGTTGGAAAGCTGAAGCTATACATCAATCATTAGGAGTCGTGATTAATTGTAATCATCTAGCTTTGTTTTAGGCAACGGATACTAGGTTCATATAAAAACATGAAGGGGGCAGAGTTGATGAGGCCCGGTCAGGACGAAACATAAAACCGTGATTTAACTACTATCTGTTATCTACAATATGATTTAATATTAAATAGTTTAAAATAAATGAAGATAAAAAATCATCTTTTAATCTAAATAGTATCCTATAAATAAAACATTACGCCACTCTTTCTACTCACCTTTGCTAGTTTGCAAACAAATTCTCAGACACAGAGAAATTAAATCTGTCATGATATACAATCTCTGATATAAGCCTTGCTCATTTTTTATATGTTAATTGTGCAGTAGGTTTTTTTATAAACATTATGAAAGTCAATCTAACAATTATTTACTCAGTTACTATTACTGAATATGTATATTTCGTACCTCTAATATATAACTAACGACAGATAATGAGATAATACATTATAAAACTGAACATACTCTTTCATATGTAGATGGTATTCGTCATGGGTTGATCTTATGTAGGTTATCATTGGAAGCTGAAGAGTAATATTTAACTGTTTCGTCATACTACTCTTTAGAAGTGCTAACTCCATATCCTCCCATGGGCAAATCACATTACCTTCAGGTCTCGTGCAAGGCATTTAATCATTAGACCTATGGGTTAAACCTCGGACAAGGTAGTAAGTTAACAGTATTTTGGACTCCCGCACATTCTAGGATGAAATACATGTACACTTCACCTTTGGTTTTCATTAATATTACAAGCGAAGTTAACGTGTAAGAAATACTATTTACAAATTAAACAAACTTATACAGAATCCCTTTCATAAAAAATACTGTTTGACCTAAGTACTTACACATAATGATAAAGTTCATATCTATACCATGACAACAACGATAAAAGACTACACGTAAATCACCCCTTATCCTATCAGATATGATATGATAAACGATAATACAATCGTCTAGTAACGGTTACTGAATAAAATGTTAATGTCAAAATTAGCGTGGAAATTTCAGACATCGTAGAAGTATTATCAATCATATTAAACAATATCTAACAACAAAAGGTGAATAGGTCACTCAGACAAGGAGTAAAGTAAGTTCACCAGACATTAGGTAGTTATTTATATGAAAAAACTCAACTTTTTGAAACTTATCAAGATATTGATACTTGAAAAAGAACATTGTTACAAAGAGAAATCTAACTTTAATACACTAATAACGATAGGATAAGTATCCATGACTTTACAGCTCATCCGTTCTTCAATATTTAATATTTATGTGGTATTAGGCATCTTCGGACATTTTTTGTTCATTTATTAGATGATTACTGTATGTAAGAGCATCGTTTTTTTCCAAATGATGACTTCATTTCAAGCTCTGAATTTCAAGTTATTCGTTTCTTTCATCTGGTAAGTTGGGGTGTATTATGATAACGTGTTCATAGACGGTATATGCGGATAGATTCAGATGACTGGAATAAAAACCTCAATAAAATATGTGTTATTGAATGTAATACTCACCTATTAAATAAATTGGGAAAACTTCAAACACGCACTTTTTTTAATATACTAAAATGATGTACAATCCCATACAACAATGTAAATATGAATAAAAAAATATTGATAAGTGAAGAAAGCAATATCGTTTAACCGTTAAACCATTCCACATTTCGGCAACTGAGTTTCATTTTTTTAACAATTGAATTCACGCGTCTATGTAAGCTAGAAAACCATTGAAAACCTGAAATCATTGGACGGCGGTTTCGTCCTAGTGTGAGACTCTTCAGCAGTGAGCATCCATAATACGTCATTCGAACCCAGGATCATCGGTCTTGCACGTGAATGCTTAACCCCTAGACCACTGAACCGGCATCTAATGATGTAAATGTCTAACTTCAATCCATCCATGATCTTGTGAAACTAATCAATCGTGGTCGATCTTAGACTGACTCATGAATTCAATTGTTAAAATTACTAAAATCCCCATTCTGATAATTGAGTTGTTTGTACTAAACCCTTTTTAATGATTTCGATTTGTGTAATTGTGTTTAGTTAGTGGTCATTAAAAATAAAATCTTATCTACATTTGGTAGATGTTCTTAGGTAAATACTAATTTACATTAATTGGATTATACAACGGTAAACAATACTATCAATAATCAATTATAGATATGAATTTCCTTCAAAGTTTTCCCAAAAATATAGTTCTATCTTTTGTAAATCTGAAGTATTTTGATCGGAATTCTGATGTGTAAATATATATGTAATTCAGATTATTATTTTAAACTATCCATACTGATTGTTTGGAGAACCTTCTTCTTTCTTAGTTTGTATGACAACTAACATTCAGTATTCATTACTTATGATAATTTAGATCACAACTTCATGAATAAACCGTATGATGAAATCATTGAACAAATTGAGTTCATAATACTAATACTTAGTTGTTTCTTTTTCATGAAATTCTAGAATGTTGTGTTACATGTTATTCATTTAAATGAATATATTTATAGATGATACTTTTATAGTGTGGATGAAATGCTTAGAGCCTATTATGTCATAATTACATGATAATAATCTACATGTGCCGACTAGTGACTGGCTTCAAGAGGTATTTCCTGGAGTTCTAGTGAGAAGCAGTGACCAGCGGATTTCAACCGGTTATGTCGTAAGATAGTAACTCACTGATGACAATGGTGGATGTGTTGCTCAATTTCATGGATTAGTTAAAGTTATACTCACTGACCTAATTATTAAAACAACATGCCGTATCTAGTTTCTTTCTCAAGATTTATCAGCCACTGTGTTCAGGGATGTATATAGTTTGGAGGTTGCTTTGGCGTTAGGCAGCTAAAGGCAGTTAGCAAG